CTGAACCTTGATTCCTCGCTTGTACAGTGTGGATAATAGCAGTATTTAATTCAGGCAGTTTTGAGGACTGCATGAAGTAATCGATATGAGACTTAGCCAGAAGCTGGCATGTTTGTAAGTACCCAATAAATGGTTTCTATCATCTTATGTACTGTAAACACAGCACCATGTTTCCTAAAGGCGCCAATAGATCTGTCTTGCAGGTAGAGGCATATGTTGTTAAGCACCCAGTCCTCCAGACTGGGGTTTGCCCCTGGTAAACCCCATTTCTGGTTTGATGGGTTTAATTTTACAAAGTCTTAAATCCTCCTTGGTAGCAAAGTGGGTGTCTGTGAAAGCCCACTGGGATGACTCCCGGGTGGTGAGGGGCAAGGGTGCTCTGCACGCACGACAGCAACTATCAGTGACGTCAGGTTAGAAATATCTGAGGCGTTTGGAGAACTGCACAGGATAGCTTCACAGCACTTCATCTTGCAGCTGAGGTGGAGCAGGTGAGGATGGGCGGGCCAAGGATCACCTGGCTAATTTCTGACATTCAGAGATAACCCAGAAAGCCATGTTTACTTCCCAGTAGCGCTGGCTGTGGGGTGGATTCTGAGATATTCCCGAGACATGTAGAGTTTCTGGGGAATTTGTGCCATCTGTCCGAGAAAGGCATGCGGGATCTATATTTGAACACATGAAACCAAGGCCACTGCCAAGTCAAGGACTGGGTGCTCTTTGACTCACACCTAAATTCTAGTAATTTTACTTTACAAAATTTTGAGGAGCAAGAACGGAGCCTTTATTTTAATAACATTTTAAATAATCGCCTTTTCCCTATGAGTTATTGTTATTTTAAAATGTTTCCTTCTTTTTACACTATCTTTGGAAACATTCTTAGAGAGAAGTGTTTGTGTGTGTGTGTGTGTGTGTGTGTGTGTGTGTGTGTGTGTCTTTAACCTAAAATTTCCTGGTAAGTTTAGCAGATAACTGTCCTTGATTCTTTGAGTGTCTTGCTGTTTTGTAGACTCTTGCTGGGTAGGAAAGCTTGTCTGTCACGTTTCTCATTTTCATTTTACATGTAAAAATTCTACACCTTCAACCTTTATGGCTTTTCTGAGAATTTGCTGTCTTTTTTTGTTTTGTTGTTGTTAATCCTTACCTGATGATGTTTTCCCATTGATTGTTAGAGAAAGTAGAAGGGAGACAGACAGAGAAACATCGATGTGAGAGAGATACATGGATTGGTTGCCTCCTGCATGCACTCTGACCAGGGCCAGGGAACCTGCAACCAAGTACGTGCCCTTGACAGGAACGGAACCTGGGACCCTTCAGTCTGCAGGCTGACACTCTATCCACGGAGCCACACTGGCTAGGGCTTTGAGAGTTGTCATTTTGAAAATAGCCATTCATCTTCAGGATCTATCTCTGAGACAAGTACAGACATTCCAATGAAAATAAATACTGAGATCCACCTACAGTAATCTTATCAACAATAGCCTGTTTCCATCAGCGATGCTGCTCCTGTGGACCCTGAAGACAGGTATTCTGTGGGGGTGGTAAGAATGTTTATGTTCCAGCTCATTCTACTTCTGGCATTTTTGTTACTTAGCACATCCAGCTTATGAAGTATGTGATCCTCCCCTTGAGAAAGCATGCCTAGCCCTCTCTTCCCCCCTCGACCCCCCATCAAAGCGAGGCTGTCCTTACCCTCTTCTCAAAGAAGCTGAGGTGGAGAGAGGTCAGGAAGTAGTTGATGAAACACAGGCGCTGTCCCTGAGTTCCTAAAGGTTTGCCTCACCTCAGGACCATGCTCCTTTGCCTCTATCTGAACACAAGTCAGAGCGGGAAGTTTCAGGTACCAGGATTGTGCAAGAGGAAAGGAAGATGCTTTGAGATTTGGATCGCTCAGCTCAGGGCCATGACTTCCTCTGGCCACTCTTGGAAAGGCGTACCTTCCTCACTCAGGGGATGTGGGTTTTTACTGTGCTGTGAGGATCCCCACAAACAATTCATAGCCTCGCGGGTGCCAGAGCGCTGTAGCTTCCCAGAGGCCACCACTGAGACTACCAAACGCGCCTGAGTGGCTGTACGGGATGGAGTGACAGCTGAGAGTAACTGCAAGTGGTCAGGAGGGGTCTTTTTTTAGAACTGGTGGAAATGTTCTCAAATTGGATAATGGTGATGGCTGCACAACTCTGTAAACATACGAAAAATCACTGGATTGTATTCTTTCACCTTGTGAGTTTTATGACACGTACGTTATACCTCAATAAAGCGGATAATAAAAATGCCTGAAATTTGGGCTGTCTTGAAAAGAACCATGTTTCCGAGCCAGTACACCTGTCTGAAAGTGTGTGTCAGAGTGGGTGGGGAGGCGTCTGAGGCAGGCGCTGGAGGAAATGGGACCAGCAGAATCTTACTCATGAGCCAGGGAGGAGGCCTGGGATCAAAATGGGAATAAAATGGCACCGTTTTTGCCCTGACTGGTTTGGCTCAGTGGATGGAGCGTCGGCCTGTGGACTGGAGGGTCCCAGGTTTGATTCCAGTCAAGGGCACGTACCTTGGTTGTGGGCACATCCTCGGTGGAAGGTGTGCAGGAGGCGGCTGATCGATGTTTCTAACTCTCTATCCCTCTCTCTTCCTCTCTGTAAAAAATCAATAAAAATATATTTTAAAAAAATGGCACCGTTTTTGTGGTGATGACAACTCAAATTAGGTTCCAGAAGGTAAGTACATTGCTCTCTATGAAAGCTCACTTTCTGAATAGCTCCAAATCTTTCATTTGGTGAACAACAGCAACACTTTATAGCCAGAAATCTTACCTTGAAGTCGTTATCAGCCCAAATAAGAGTGTCTTGTCAATGATTCATCAGGTGTACTATACAGATTTGTATAAATAGATTACCAAATGTTTCCGAATAGCATCAATATAACTAATGTAGCTTAACTGCCATTTTTTCTTGCTTGTCATTATTTAGTAGGATGTAGATAATAGTTAATGTGACAGGTTTTAAAAAATTTTTCAACTTACTTTTTTTTTTTTTTTAAATATATTTTATTGATTTTTTTACAGAGAGGAAGGGAGAGAGATAGAGAGAGTTAGAAACATTGATGAAAGAGAAACATCGATCAGCTGCCTCCTGCACACCCCCTACTGGGGATGTGCCCGAAACCAAGGTACATGCCCTTGACCAGAATCGAACCTGGGAACCTTCAGTCCATAGGCCGACGCTCTATCCACCAAGCTAAAATGGCTAGGGCTCAACTTACTTTTTTTACGGTGTTTTCCGAATTCCGGAATGAAGGTGACTAAGCTTTCAGTGTTTGCTTGATTCAAGAAATCGGTTGGCTTTGCTTACATATATTGTGTGAAACTTCAGATAAAGCTGCAGGACTCCCTCTGTAACTGGAGCGCAGGAAACAATTGACACTGTTACTTAATTCACATTGTTTCTGAGACATTTCCTACTTTCCCATGAGAACAATTTGCTTGCAGATGGTTAGGCATGATACATTTCTCCTTGGTACCGGTTCTGTGAGGAGAATTTCATGGTGCTTTGTAGTAGTTGAGTTAGTATGTGTGTCTGTGTGTTTGTGTGTGTGTGTGTGTTGCTGGGGGCAGGTTCATGCTTTATACATATAGATGCCTCCAACTTCATTCCACGTAGCAAATGTTTTCTTTTGAATGCTAGCCCATTCACTCCGGGTTCTACATTCCTTAGTCGGAACCTCTTTCTTGAAGGAGCATAGAATTGTTTTAATCCTTCCAGTTTAAGGAAACACCCCTGTGAATTATGGTGTTTTAAGATATGCTGAATGAGTTACTGGGGAAAGTGGTTCACAGCAGTTTAACTCGGCCCTACTGCATGTTCAAGTATTACATACATGTAGGTGTGTGTGATGTTGTCTGGGGCACTGTAAAGTGGTCATCAAGGAATGATTCCAGAACGGGAGAGCAAATCCATACATGAGATACTCTAATTAGAAGTTTAAAAAACCAAAGTTTTTGCATTACTTCCAAAAATAGTGGTTCCCACATCCAGGAGTAAAAGTTTCCCAATTAAAAAAAAAAAAAGACGTGGAACGTTGAGTTCCCTTTCTTCTGTCTTATCAGATTTTGTTAAAATAACACCGCTTGTCAGTTTTGCAGCTCCATCCATCCAGGGAGCTGAAAGCACTTCACAATCTTTTCTCCTCATGCCCTTCTCTTCAAGGCAATTTTGGCTGGGCTGGGTTTATTTTTATCATTGCAACGACCAGTTTTTAGAAACTTTTGGAAACGAAAAAAGAAAAATGAGAATGGCACTGTAGCTGACATTCATTTTAGCTGCTGCCTCGTGTGAACATTTGAGTATTTCTAAAATCTTCTCTCCAAGCATGTTGTATGTCTTATTTTTTCTCAGTTTGTCCCAGTTCTAAGTCTCTATTCTGCTGATTGGGTAAAAAAAAAATAATAAAAAAAGTTTTAGTGTAAAACCTTATCCCAGCAGAATGACTTCTTGAACTCTGAGTTAGATCTTTGTTTTTTGTAGCCTCAAGAGCTCCCTTTTCAGCATCCTGTTGAGTATAATCACAGACTCAGGGGAGGTTAGCACTGGAAGGGCCTCTGGGGTTGCCCGAGGTAAGTCTGTCATTATACAAATAATGAGCTTGAGGCCCAGAATGGTTAAGGGACATACTCAAGGTCATAGAGGTCATTGATGGCAGAGGTCTGCCTAGAATCAAGGATTTCCAGTGTGGTATTCCTTTGGCTCTCCTAAATAAAAACTCGCCTATCTGGATAGAAACTAGAGAACACCCTCACAGAATCTTAGGGCCCACCAGCAGGTTGAACGACGCTCTGCTAACTGAAAATTGGAAGGAGATTTCATTTTTCTAACTTGAACTTATTTGTCAAATATAGAATAGTAATGTTGAATTCATAGACTTTTTTTTGGGGGGACCTGTGGATTTTGTGCAGTTGATATGCAGCACAGAATGTGATTTCAAATGGTGATTTGTGTACCTTCCTTTAGGCCACCACACCATCTACATTGGGGTCCATGTGCCGAAGAGCTACAGGAGAAGGAGACGACACAAGAGAAAGACGGGACACAAAGAAAAGAAGGAAAAGGAAAGAGTCTCTGAGAACTACTCAGACAAGTCTGACGTGGAAAACGCCGATGAGTCCGGCAGTAGCATCCTCAAGCCGCTCAGTGAGTACTCCGTGGGCGTGGCCGCCTCTCTGCCTCACTCCTGCGGCCCAGGGAAAGGCACTTTTTAGGATCTTGTGGCTAATGCGAGGGGTGCAATCATAAGGAGATGGCCTCCTCTAAAGGGTCATGTCTGTGCAGATGCTTTTCTTGTCCTAGCAGGTTGTTCTAGGATGCGATCTGAGTTGGTTGGAGAATATTTGACAAAGGTTAGGCATGGTTGTGTATCTTACATTTTGACTAGTGAAATAGGGCAGAGTATTAAAGATGGCATTTGACTACAATAATCAACAGGAACTGAAAGGTTCTTAAAGAAATTTTTGGATCGTTTCTGCTTAGAAATAGGTTCCATTGAGACAGTAGGTCAAGATGGAAATTATATATTTATAATATATATATAATATATATATTATATGTTACTTATAGGGTTCTAAGTGACATTTAACCAGGTCATGGGCTGGGCTGGTAATTTAAAAAGGAACAGTGGAAAAGCATCCTGTAAGTCATAGAAGAATGTAGAGTGGAGTGGCATAGCTCTTGAAATGTCGAACATATTAGATATCGTACTTTGGATAGAAGTGTTACTAAGAACAGAATAACAGGAGGTCAAAGAACACCCTTGGATTCAAGTCATGGGAGGACTGTGTGTTTAGGCGCATGTGTATGTTGCTTTTGTTTCTTTAGATATGGGGAATATTTGGCTATCTGGGTAGCTGTGTCTGAAGCAAGAATGAGTATGTGCAGTAGAAGTGAGAAGCAGTAGAAACACATGCCAATTTGGGGAGATTCCCCAACAGGAGTTCCGTAGTGACAGCTTTTCACGTTGGCAGAGCTCAGTTCATTCTTCATCTCTTTGCTACAGTGGCAGAAATATGGAACCTGCAATAAAATGCATTAGGGTGGCATGGATGCAGATCCAGTTCTGTCACTGCAGGTGACGAGAAGCCAAATTGGAGTGAACAGCTGAGGAGTGTTGAAAAGTGAGTTTATGGAGTTAAATTGAAGAGGGTGTGAAGTGCAGTGATGTGAATCTGTGAATTTGTTAGAGTCTCGCTATTGGAACTGAGCAGGTGGCTTGAAGCTATAGAGGCACCTGCTGAGAGGAGCAGTGCAGGTGGACCTCCTAAGTAAAGACAGACGTCCTGAGGAGAGTTTGGAGATGGACCACCACGTTACAACTTAAGGTGTTGGAATAAATGTGAGACTTAGGCGGGACCAGAGGGCAGGAGACAAGAGTTATGCACTTTTCATTGGAATGTTGGGAATCTGAAGGGAATCCTTCATATGTTGACTAAAAACAACTAAAAACGAAAAAACATGGGGACTGTTTCAAGTAAAGTCCTTGAAATGCTGATAAAAAAGGTCACAGTTAATAGTGTGGAGGAACAAAAGATAACATCCCTTTCCAAATAAATTACTGCTGTCTATCTTGATTTGCTATCTGTTTCGGCAAGGCCTGAGCCCGAATCAGATACTCTCCCCAGTGTGTGTGTGTGTGTGTGTGTGTGTGTGTGTGATCTCTCTTTCTGTCTCTTTCCAAGTCATTTCCCATTCTGCAATTTAAGAACAAGAGTACATCATCACTATACATAATAAAAAGGGAGAGATGCTCTCTTAGACAAATGGGCCAAGGAATTTTGAGATGATAATTATGTACCAGCTTTGTAAAGGAAAGGCAATGGAACAATGCCAGTAATACTCAAGTCAGTAATAGGGCATGGACTGATCAGAAAGGTAGTGAGTATCAGTATGTGTCTACCATGGGCGTACTGTTGCTTTCTGTGGCAATTGGGGACTAGTTTTGAGTACAGCCTGTACGATAAGCAAGGTGTTCATTCTCGTTAGCCTCAGGTCTCCTTTCTGGGGAGTATTACATTATGTTGTATGCCTGGTTTCTGAAGGGATCATATGGAGAGGCCATTGTTAAGGACTGAATTGTTCAGAGATCATCATAAAATTATTTATAAGTTTGCATTTTACAGTTAGTTATTTTCCTGCTAGTTTATAAGTTATGCACCATTCAATTCGGCATGAAGGTTCTCTTAGAAAGCATCGTATATTCCAGTGGTTCTCAACCTTCTGGCCCTTTAAATACAGTTCCTCATGTTGTGACCCAACCATAAAATTATTTTCGTTGCTACTTCATAACTGTAATGTTGCTACTGTTATGAATCGTAATGTAAATACCTGATATGCAGGATGGTCTTAGGCGACCCCTGTGAAAGGGTCGTTCGACTGCCAAAGGGGTCGCGACCCACAGGTTGAGAACCACTGGTATATTCTCTCCACTGCTTATTGTGGAGACTAGATGGACTGGTAGCTGGTTTATCTGGTGCAGTTCTATTTAAGATGTTACACTCATGTATTGAACGACATTTAACCCTATGATTTGGGGAAGCTATAGGGCACTGGCACCAATATGACAATAACATTTTTTTATGGGAAAACTCATTTACTGAAATATCTGCCTAGCGGTATGCCATTATTGGTTCTCAAGAACAGCCACACACAGTTTCTGTTATTGTTAGGTCTAGGCTTTTGGAGATACTTATGTCTATAATGTACCACAGCCCATAGACAAGATTTTTTCCCCCACCCCATTTAATATTTTTTTATTATTTATTTATTGTCTAAAGTTTTACATATGTCTCCTTTTTCCCTGATTGACATCTCCCCACCCCAGCCATTCCCACCCCGGGCAAGCCCTCACCACCCCAGTGTCTGTGTCCATTGGTTATGCTAATATGCATGCATACAAGTCCTTTGGTTGCTCTGTAACCTCCAGCCCCACCTCACCTGCCATTTGTCTCTGGATCTATTTTTGTTCATCAAATCATGTTGATCATTATATCCCACACATGAGTGAGATCATGTGATATTTATCTTTCTCCGACTGGCTTATTTTGCTTAGCATAATGCTCTCGAGTTCCACCATGCTGTTGCGAATGGTAAAAGTTCCTTCTTTTTTTAAAAAAAAATAAATTTATTTTTTACAGAGAGGAAGGGAGAGGGATAGAGAGTTAGAAACATCGATGAGAGAGAAACATTGATCAGCTGCCTCCTGCATACCCTCTACTGGGGATGTGCCTGCAACCAAGGTACATGCCCTTGACCGGAATCGAACCTGGGACCCTTCAGTCCATAGGCCGATGCTCTATCCACTGAGCCAAACCGGTTAGGGCAAATTCCTTTTTTATAGCAGCATAGTATTCCATTGTGTAGATGTACCACAGTTTTTTAATCCACTCATCTGCTGATGGGCACTTAGGCTGTTTCCAGATCTTAGCTATGGTGAATTGTGCTGCTATGAACATAGACAAGATTCTTGCATGGGCCTGACATTGCGTCAGGCGAGGCTTCTATTATTGAAAGTACGCCACATATAAGTAAAGGAACTCGATGAGAATCATCTCTGATTCTTTCCTTGATGTCACCCACATAGACAATCCAGCAATGACTTTTGTTGGTTCTACTTCTAAAATATGCCTGGATCTGTCTACCCCTGAGCAGCGTGGCTGCCACATTCGGGGCAGGGAATTGTCATCTCTTACATAAACAGCTACAACAGGCTCCACTTCTCAAGTCGTCTTCCACCCAGAGGCAACAGGGCTCATCGTAAAGTGTGAATCGAGCCATGCCATTCCTGCGCTGAAAACCTCCTGTTGTCCTTAGAAGAAAATCTCGATTGGGCAGCACGGCCCATGGTGTCTCACCACGCGTGCTCCGGTCATTCTCTCCGTGCTCTCTGTTCTTCAGCCACACTCAATTTTCAGCTTCTTGGTGTCCAAACCTTTTCTGCTTCAGGGCCTGTGCACATGTAATCCTGTCTGTTTGGAATAGTCATCCCATTTCTGCCCTGGTTAGCTTTTCTCCTGCTTTATATTCCAGCTTGAAAATTTTGTGTCATCTGGGAGGCCTTTCCTTCCTACTCCACGGGGTGGGGTGAAAGTCGGCTTACAGCTGTGAGTCCTGAATATTATTTATTACTTATTGCATTATTTTCCATACGAAAAACTGTCAACCTACTTTTGCCCCACCCTGTATAATGTGTGTTCTCCAGTGTTGTTCTTTCTCAGCTTTTTGTTTCCTTAATAATATATGTTTTAACTTTCAGTTTTTCGAGCCTATAATTTTTTCTGGTGCTGATGCTAGGTTATGAGCTCCGGGAGCGCTAGGATCAGATTTGTCTTGTCATTGTTTTCTCTGGCACCTAGCACAGTGTCTGACCTGTGGTATATGCTTCATAAATGCTGACTGAAGAGTAACTGAGTGGATGGATTACTACAGGTGAATACATAAGCATTGCTTTTATTTATCTAAATACTTCCTACATTATAGATAATGGGTCGGCTGATTTTCTTATTTTTAATCCTTGCAAATTATTTTTATATTTCCTTTCACTGCCTTTCTCCCTTGCCATGGAAATCTGCTCCAAACTTTTGATGCTGCTGCTTTGGGAAGTGCCTCATTATTTTGTTAAAATATATTTTATTGATTTTTTTACAGAGAGGAAGGGAGAGGGATAGAGAGTTAGAAACATTGATGAGAGAGAAACATTGATCAGCTGCCTCCTGCACACTCCCTATGGGGATGTGCCTGCAACCAAGGTACATGCCCTTGACCGGAGTTGAACCTGGGACCCTTGATTCCGCAGGCTGACGCTCTCTCCACTGAGCCAAACCGGTTAGGGCTCATTATTTTAACTATTGCTAACGAGGTATTGTGGCCTGGGTAGGGGGCTCCCGAGTGTGCTGAGCTGCTTGTCACACACAGGTGATGGGAGAAACCGATCCACAGGGCACATGGATTCATCACACACACTTGAAGATGCTCACTACTCCACACCAAACTTGGGCTGCTTAGCTTCAGAGGCCATTGTCCAGAGGCATGGACTCGGATAGTAACGGGCATCTAAAAGAAGAAATAAGCCAAATATTTAGGCACATTAAGGAAGATGACATTAGCGGGTTCATTTAGCTGATGTCACAGGTGCTTTTGCTTTT